GGCTATTTTTTGGTTGCAGCCGTCATTGTTGTTTGGCGGTCCGGGCTGGATTCGAACCCGCCACCTTAGGTGTACGTGGCTGGCGCCTTAGCCAGTTGAGCTATAGGCGCCGAGTCGCATGGTGAGTTCTTAAATCCTTTCCTACAATTCTGCAAGTAGGTAAAACTTTTTTCAAATGAACTTATTTTTAAAAAATAATAGGCTGGGCGGCACCTGTGGCTCAGTGGGTAAGGCTCCGGCCCTAGCCAAACTGCAACAACAACAAAATAAATAAAAATTTAAAAAATTAAAACAATAGCCAATGGTATAGGCATCAGCTGACCTGGGGAAAGCCTCTCTGGAGTTGTGGCTTTTGGAGTCAGGGCAAGAAAGCGATCCCAGGGGCCTGGTGGGCCTGTGCCGCAAGCCACGCTATGTGCAGCTTTTATTGGTCAAAGGCAGCTTTGCAAAAACTTCAAAATCTTGGAGGCAAACTCCAAGCAGGGCAAGATCATGTCTCTGCTGCTCAACCCACAAGAGGAGAAGACATCCATGGAGGTACCCACTCACCCACAGACCTACCCACCAGCATGTCTTAGATTACCATGACTTCTCTGAGGACAAGAACTTCATGCTTTTGGTGTTGGAGTTCTGCCACTTGAGGTCTCTCCTGGAGCCGCACAACAGGAAAATACTGACCATGCCTGAGGGCACTACTACCTGAGAGAGATTGTCCTTGGCTGCCAGTACTTACACTGAAGCCAGGCTACTCATTAGGACCTCAAGCTAGACCGTTTCCTGAATGAACAAGGATCTGGAAGTAAAAGCAGGATTTTGGACTGGCAACACAAGTCGAGGTATGGTGGGCAGCAGAGTGAGACCAATCCTGGGTGGGATTCCCATTATGTAGGTGCTAAGCAAGAAAGGGCAGTTTTGAGGCAGACACGTGGTCCACTGGGTACATTATACCTACCTTGCTAGCAGGCAAACCACTTTCTGAGACCTCTTGTCTAAAAAGAAACCTACCTCTGGATTAAGAAGAATTAACCTGTATTCCCCAGCACCTCCACCCCATGGCCACCTCTCTCATCCAAGAGGCTTCAGACTGATCCCACTGCCCACCCAGCCACTAATGAGCTATCTCCCTGCCCCTGTCTCATCATTCCACTGACAGTCTCAAGCCCTCCCAGCAGCCTGCACTTTAGTGGTCTTCAATAAAAACAAGAAGAACCTCCTGCCAAGCAACCTTGGGGAAAGAAGGAACCAGAGGCGTGGGACCATTACTGTGATGCTTGTGTTACTTGAACATCACAATGACAGACACAAAGACAGACTGGAATTGGTTTTGGAAGACACAGAGTATCAAGACTGAGGACACACTTCCCAAATGTGACAAGATTTTAAGAAATTGAGTTTAGGAAAAAAACAAAAAAGTCTCCTAAGAGCTGTCTCTGCTTTTTCTTCCCACTCTTTCTTGAACCCACTGCCAAATAATAGCTTTCATCTCCACCATTCGAAAGACATGGCTCATGGGAAAATCCCCAGTGATCTTTGCATTGTTAAATTCAATGATCAAATCAGTCTTACTCAACTGAACAGAAAAATGATCAAGAAATCAACTTAGTAGCTTTAAAAGACGTATTAGATAGCAAGCACAATGGTACGTGCTTATGGTACCAGCTACTCGGTAGGCTGAAGTGGGAAGATCACTTGTGCCCAGGAGTTTGAGTCTAATCTGGGCAACACAGCAAGACTCCCATCTCAAGTTAAAAAGACTTACTAGGCATATTGTTACATACAATTTTGTTACTAAAGCATCAGCTTTTAATAAATTACGACCACAGATGTTCGCAGGTTTATTTGTTGTAATCATTGTATGAATGGAGAAAAAGTATCTCTCATTCCAATCAATCAACTTACAAACATTGGGAACAAAACCTTCTCCAAAGGAAACAGATGCGACCGCTTTTATTGTTAAACTTTCAATTCACATTTTAATTTTCAAAGGTTCATAATTCCCATATTCTTAATAAGAAACCCCATCCACAGTGGTTCAGTTAACCTTCAGACGAGCTCTGAGGGGGGAAAAGGCATTTTATGAAAACTAAAAAATCTAAAGAAATTCTCGGTCTTGATTTTTGAAGCTACGGACAACTTTGTATCACATTTGCACCAATTAAGCATGTTTACCTTGTCTGTCCTCCCAAGGACAGAATTTTAAAACATCACTGACAAGGTGTGTTTACTTATTCTAATCACATAACAATGACTCCATACCTAATTTAAAAATCTAAGACATGACTGGACCACATAATCTTATATATAACTATCTGACAATATTTTTACATGAAGTTGCTATTGTTTATTACACGTCAATTAAAGTTCATGACAAAGTGGCATGAAGTCAAGAGGATTCCAAGACAACACCATCAAAACTGTTACACAGTATCTCCAAGTGTGTAGTTTTTTTACACCTTATGTTTTGAAGACATGATTGTGGAAGAGCTTCTGAGGTTGACCATTAAAATCTTCTAAGCCCAAGTCACATCTGGAAATACTGTAGGCAATGTTAGGGGCAAAACTGTGTGCATTGCATAAAAGCGCGCTAAGGCCTGCTTGTAATAGAATATCACCTCACAAGAAAACAGTGCCTCTGAAGCCCGGACTTTAAACCAACTTCCAAGCTTTTGCAGCAGCACCACAGTGCTAAGCTCTGAACTGTAAATGTGCACATACTGTCATAGTCAGATAGTGACTTACAGTTTTCAAAGCACTGGGTGTGTGGGCCTCTAAAATAGTTGGCTTCATAGGACCTGAACTAAGACATTTCGCCGAGGACCCATATTGTGGGGGGTCTGTGCCTAATCATCTTCACACCGACAGAAGCAGTCACTATAATGCATAAATCCATTACGTGAACCAAAAATGAACTTCTAACTTATTATTTCAACACACATACATCACACACCACACACACAATTGGTCCAATATTTTAACTACTGTTCCATACTTGATATTTATAATTAATAATGCTACTGGAATGGAATAATATTACATACAAAAATATATGAAAACCAGATATAACAAGCTCTAATGGGCTAAATTTCAGTTATAAAATGGGTCGTAGTCTAAGGAATCACTATGTATCCACAATAATTATTTTATAAATGGAAAGACGACTGCAGCTTACCCATGACACATCCAAATCAAGGAATGAATTCATTCCATAGTAGATATGAAAACACAGCAAAATAAAACCAAAACATAACATAGGAAGTAGTATCACACATGGCAAACCTATAGCATAAAACTTGGTAGGCGTGTTTACTATGAAAAGAAATAATTTAGATTTTTAATATCCCATAAGTTCCCACATCAAGTCATCTTGACAGAAAATCTTTTTAAAGTAATATAACCATAAATAAAGTTGCTCAGACACAAGGCAGACACACACACAAAACACACACATACAGTTCTCCAGTGAAGTATTAATTGAAGTGCAGCATTTTTATAACTAGAGCTATGTAATGTAACATACACAGATTTTTACAGCTAAACAGCAATCTTAGTTATAAAATAACACTTCAGTAATCTTTTTCTTTTAAACCATAACTCATCTAGTGAAACAGGCCATTTCCCTTAAAAAAAAAATCTGACATTTTAAGAGCTGACAAGTTACATTATACTTCAATATTTAGATCATTGTGGCTCCTAGACCATAAATTATACAATGTTTGAATAACTTAGGAAAAAAGCATCAAAATTAATCTTCCATCAGCTCCTCTACCTTGTCACTGCCTCCTTGCCACCCACATGGCCCTTGAGGCTTTTTCTCAGCACTCTCTGAAAGTGTTATGCTTACTTTACACATGATGACTCAACAGTAAGCTAAATAATCAGTAATAAAAGAAAATATGTAAGATAAATGTTTTTCCAAATGTCGGAATACGGTAGATTCCCACGAGTTGGTGAAACTTCTCCAACGATCACCCAAATTCATGCTCTGCAGGATAAGGCCTCCTCACGTAAGGAACGGTTGAGAATATTTGCTCCCCACACCCACAGCCATTCAGGCATATACTGTGCAAAAAGAAACTAAAATGAAAGAGACAAAGGTTATAAGGTTAGAACTGCAGGCCATCAACATTAAAAGACAAGTACACAGATCAATAATTTAAATAAATAGCCACTAATCACATTAACTACAACAAAAGAAAAGCCCTTGGGCTCTAGTACTGGACACCTGTTTTTGCGTAAGATCCTGCCCTGGATTCCCTGCGGAACAGAAACATGGTCACCACCTGGCCACCCCCTTCCTCTCATGAGGCTGAAAGACCAGCAGGTAGTCATTGGACTCCCTCTTTACTTCATGAGATACAAACAGTATATTCACTGGTCACAAATTACAAAACCATTACAGGAACAAGTCAGGTGGAACTGAGAGATGTTCACATGGTTAGTACTGCATGAGAAAAATGGGGTTGTTTGAGGGGTAAGACAGAGCAAAGTTAAGGAAAACTGAATTAGAAACACCAGGGTTCGTTGTATGGACACATGATGAGGAAGCTCAGGGAACCAGAGGAGTTCTGCTGAGGCTTCTGGTCTCCGGCAGAGCCACTGTGCCCCAGGAGACATATGGCAGTGTTGGAAAACATTCTGGGTTCTCCCACTGGGGGAGAGTGTGACTGGGATCCAGTAGGCAGCGGACAGAACAGCCCCCCACGACAAGGGACTGTCCCTGTCTGCCCCAAAGGCCAACAGTGCTGCAGTGGAGAAACTCTATGCTGCTCAGACAGATCTGTCCAAGACGGAGTGGAAGTTCTAACACCCTTATGTTAAGGAAGAGACAGGGACAGGCCCCCGCCAAATACTGACATGCTAGCCCTGAACAGATGTAAGATAACAGAGCTCACCCAACCCTCTGCTCAGTAAATGGACACAGGTTACTCTGCAATTCCTGAGACCATACTGAGTAAGGACGGGTCCCATATCACTAACTGCTTGAGACAGTCCTGGAGCTACAGCTGTTCCCAGTCAAGAGGCTCCAGGTTAGTCACCTTGGAGACAGGGGCCCAGTACTGGGGGAAGTAACTATGGCCTCTTGGTTTCTTAAAGAGCCAGGAACTTGTGGGAAAATACTAATACACGGATACTCCTCCTTGGAGCCCATTCCTTAAAGCAGGCATCCCCAAACTGCAGCCCACCTAGGACATTTATCCGGTCCGCTGGGTGTTTTTGCCACCGCTGTCTGTCCTGCTTAGCAGCCGACTCATCCCAGGGCCCGCAGTCCAGCCTCCAACGGTCTGAGGGACAGTGAACTGGGCCCCTATTTAAAAAGTTTGAGGACCCTGCCTTAAAGCAAAGCATTCTAAATCAAGAATAGATAAATCAAGGGGATAAAAAGAATCTCTTTATAGTCCCATAGGAGGACCTATATGTAGGGTCACCCTGAAACCTGCGGGTAACCGAGACAGGCTACATCATCAGAGCCCCTGTGCATGTTCATTTAGTGGGGATGGAATCAGCACCTCAAAGTCTAGGGGTTTTGCTTGTTAATTTTTGAGACAGAGTCTAACTCTGTCACCCTGGGTAGAGTGCCATAGCATCACAGCTCACAGCAACCTCAAACTCTTGGGCTTAAGTGATCCCCTTGCCTTAGCCTCCTGAGTAGCTGGAACTACAGGTACCCACCATAAGGCCTGGCTAATTTTTCTGTTTTTAGTAGCGATGGGGGGGGCGGTCTCACTCTTGTTCAGGATGGTCTCAAACTCCTGAGCTCAGGTGATCCACCTGCTTTGGCCTCCCAGAGTGCTATGATTATAGGCATGAGCCACCGTGCTTAGCCTGAAAATCTATTTTTTTAAATTTCCATTCATAACCACCATCTATTTCAGGGGAACAGCATCAAGGTACATTTTGCCAGCTGCCTAACGAGTGCACATGCAGACTTAACCGGCACACCGTTTCTGCCTCACTCCAGGGAGATCTCAGCACCCCAGGCAGTGGGACAGAAAGAGCTTAGTGGGAAGCCCCAAAGGAAAAGGAGGAGACTAATCCTCTGGGTCAGTACAGATGGTGTTCTGTCACACCCTAGGGTGCTGGGAGAGGATCTCAGGCGCAGTGAGAAAAATTTTTAAGATAATTCAATTATTTTTGAAAGAAATTCAATGCACAGTAAGCATATTTTTTTAAACTTTTTTTGATCAACGTAATTTAAGTGTGCCATGAAGTTTAACTATAGGCTCAAGGGTGCCATAAAAAAAAGACTGAAAAACACTGCTCTGGGTACTGGTAGACAGTGTAAAGGGGCCTAACTTCATCGATTCATGTAGATGGTACAGCCGGGAGAAAGGCATAGAGCCCCGGGAGGGAGCTCCCAAACTCAAGTAAGAGAGGGAGGTACCGGCTATGATGGATTTCAGGTTTTTTTCTGGCTCTCTCCACATAGGACAGACTCAGGGGTCCTGAGCAGTCTGTCCAGATTGAAGAAGGAAGCTGCTACTCAGTGACCAAAGCCAACAGCGGCTGCTGATGTGGCGCAGCACCTTAAGTGTCCGCTACTCAGTGAGACTGGGGAACCCCCAGATGATAGAAGAGTCACCAGTAAGGCACGTGTTCTGAGTGTTTGAAATTAATCTTGGTGATTAACACATCGCTAACTAGTCACGAGTTACCCGGTAACATGGAGATAGTTTCTGCATAGACTTGCTGGTTAACAATGTGTTAATGTAAACATCATGCGCTCCCCAGACACTGTGACAGGTTGAACCTTAAGATGTTAAGAAAAGAATGGGAACGAGAAGGATGTAAAGGTCCATGAGCTAGGATCCTCACACTGGAGTTACGCCAAAGGTGGAAGGAGAGCGTCTGCGAAAGGAGGTGAGGACGGCTCAGGCACCAGCTAGGGAGTGAGCATGCTTGTGGCCCCGGCCTCGCAAGCTGATCAAAACTAGCCTCTTTTTACACAGACTCAGAAAGGATCACGGGACACATTTAGTTCTCCGTGAAACACTGTGAAATACCTCCAGCTTGCCTCTTTGAAGGGCTCCAGGACAGAAAGAACTACATGTGAAACACACTGAGTCCTGTGGACAAAGTTACCCAGACAAGCAGACCCACGCCACCATCAACTCCTGACTGCAATGCTGCAGCATGGCGCCTCCCTCTGAGAGGCATCCCACTCTCCTGGCCTCCTGATTGTTCCCTCAAACCTCCCCACTCCCGCAAGCTCGACCTGCATCCTCACTCAGGCAGCCCCTCCCGTCGGACCGAGTCCCACAGCTGCAGGTGGACTCCAGCACTTGCTGCTTGTTCTCCAAATCCGGGCCAGAACCATGACTTTGCTCCTTTGTTTTTAAGCCTTTCTTCTCCTCATGTTCTGTCTCTCCCGTATGTAATTAGAGTCAAGTCTCTCCAACTTGAGTAAACTAACAAGCAAGCAGGAGCCCACCCTGGGCCCACTGCCCACACCACCCTGTACAGCCTCATTTCCTGAAGACGCTCACCTCACACACGGGGGCCACAGCCTCATCGCCCACATACTTGTCAGCTCACGGCAAACTGCCTTCTCCCTAAGAGGCCTCCCAAACTGCCTTCATCGAGGAGGTCACCAGAGAGTTCTAAGACGTGCCACCATTTGTTCCTATGTTACATGACAGCTGGCATCACACTGAAGACTGTTCCCTCTGCCTCAAAACTCTCTCCCCCTTGGCGTCTAGAAGCCACGCTCTGCTGCTTCCTAGAATCCCTCTCAGTCTCCGTTGCTGGGTCTCCTTCCTCTGCCTTTCTCTAGAAGCTGCAGGCCCTTGAGACTCTCTGCTCTTTTCATCTCTCCACCTGCTCTCCTGGGATGACGCCACTGCCCCACGGTTGCCACCCAACTAAATGCTGATGCCCTGCGAATCTTCAACTCCCACCCCCCCACCCCCCGCCACCTGAGCTCCCCACTACACAGCTGCCAACTCCACTTCTTCCAAATATTTCCAGGGCCTTCAAAACCAGTGTGTGCACAACTTTGAACTTCCCCAAACCCGAGCTCTGCCTCCAGGTTATCCATCTGAGTAAATGGCACCACTGAATTTCTGAAGCTCGGAACCTGAGGATATGTTTTGCTTCTTCCTTTCCCTCAGGCCCTCACATCCAATCTACCATCATATCTTGTCAAGAGATAAATATGTAATATCATTCTTAATTAATTCACAAAGTACAAGACTAACTGGAATGAACAGCACAAAACACAACTTCATGTCATGTTTGACATATCAAACTTCTTTCTTGCGGGCTGAAGATTGACAGAGGATTGAAATCTTGATAAAATTTAGGTTTCTGCAACTTGCACAAATTGTATTAAGAAGAAAAAGAAAAGTCATAGCAGCAAAAGCTATCAGAGAAATAGGCTATGCACAAACAGCAATTGATGAATCAAATCTTTGCTGTAAAATTGTAAAAAAAAAAAAAAATAGATAATCCTGAAAATAATTTGAGTCAAATAAAATTAAAAGAATGGAATAGGAAAAAATGGAAAGTTTTAACAACTTTATACAGAACACTACTCTAGGAATTAAATCACCTTGACAGAATTTCTAGGCAGAAAAATATATTCTCAAGCAAAGTTTAATTTTGATTAAAATGTTGGTGTTGGGCGGTGCCTGTGGCTCAAAGGAGTAGGGCGCTGATCCCATATGCCAGAGGTGACTAGTTCAAACCCAGCCCTGGCCAAAAACCACACACACACACACACACACAAAAGTTGGTGTTTTATGAACACAGTCAAAATATCTACTCCATCTAACCCCATTCTCGTTATTTCTTTTTTTTTGAGATAGAGTCTCATTTTCTTGCCCTTGGTAGTGCCACGCAGTCACAGCTCACAGCAAACTCAAAACTCTTGGGTTCAAGTGATCCTCTTGCCTCAGCCTCCCAAGTAGCTGGGACCACAGGCGCCTGCCACAATGTCCAGCTATTCTAGAAATGAGGTCTCACTCTGACTCAGACTGGCCAAGAACTCATGAGCTCAGGTGTCCCAGGGCGCTAGGATTATAGGCGTGAGCTACAACACCCGGCCTTATATACTCAATTCTAAGAAAACGTCATGTCCAGTGGCTTCTGAGACTACTTTGTAGGTTCCTCTGCTTTTCTCAAGTAAGTAAAGAATCTGGAAATGACCATTTAAATAAAAACGCTTCTTATTAATGAAATCTTTAGCCAGATCTTTTCATAAAAGTAAAAATTAACTGTTGATTTACTTGCTTATTTATTAGGGATAAATCTAATAATCTCTATGCAAACAGTCCCAAAAATATTTGTTTAGTAATTAAGAAAGCTCTCAATATTAAAAAAAAAAATGTCTAAACTAGGGTACATTCATTTACTATGCAAGACAAAGAAACACAAATTTTAATAAATCATTGAATTTTCTCACTAACACTTAGAATCCCAATTTTCAAATACAAAGTTACTTTTTAAAATACCAAAAGACCCAAATCTTTGTCATGCTTGAACAACAAACCTTAGAAGAATATTCTGTTTCTTGAACAAATGAGTCTTATAAACTGAGATATTATTTGAAATAATGGTTACATAAAATATAGACGTAGTTTATGGTTTATGTTTTTATGGATTACACTAGAGTCACCCCTTGAGTAAGACCAGAATCATGTTGTCACTTTGAAATTCCCACATATAGATACATATATATATGTACACATATATATATTTAGTATTTTTATACTCCTACCATCCACTTATATTAAAGCAGCATATTTCATCTTTTTGGTGCCACGTAAGTTGAACTTTTGAAAATTTTTAATTATCCTACAAAAGAGAATTTAGTGTCTTAACCAAAATCATTAAGAGTTTTCAAGTTTAAAAATTGGAACTTACCATTCTCATCTTTTCTTTTCACATTAGACTTAAATCAGATTCCTGATTTAAGAAAAAGTTTACAATACATTAACCTAATATAAAAGACCTGAAAACACACTACTACCTGAATAGAATGGGACCAGTATCCTGTGGTCCTTTTTGAAATTCCAAGGGTAGAAACAGCATGATGTGCATACACTTTTGGTGAAGGCACCAACCATGGGCATTTGTGCAGGAAGCTGCTAGGTGTGGTCATGTTGGTGGCTACATAGAACGGGATTAAACTCTGCACAAAGATTCCTTTGGAAGCGTATTCATACTGTAACGCTCTGCTAAAGTGGTCTAAATAAGCCTGTTAAAACAGAGGAGAGGAAAAGACTTTTAATATTGAGCACTTAAAAGGAAAATTTAAGAGGAAAAAACTTGCTTATTGGGAAAAAATATAGTATAGGCAAATATAAGTTTCTGACAAACAGCTCAACAAATCGGACCCTTAGTTAACACTCTATTGCATTAGGGTTTCATTTTCTAGACAGCAATACTTGACCTTGGAAGCAGAAAATGCAGCCAGCTGGGGAGTGGGCTTGCAGCAGGAGCCAGAAGAGATCGTGACAATGGCACCTTTCTTTCTCTCCACCATGCCAGGTAACACGATATGGACCATCAAACTAGCGGCGGCAATGTTCACATTTATGATGTCCCAGAGTTTGTCCTCCGAGATCTGAGTAAAATTTTGGGGGTAGGGGTAAAACACGCCCACATTATTCACCAAGATGCCAACGTCTCTGTCTTTCAGGGCTTCTCGAATCGGAGCATAGATCTCCCTGCCACTGCTGAAGTCCGCAACAATAATATCGGTTTCCACTTTGTAGGTGTCAGCTATACCTTTAGCAACAGTCTGCAACTTCTCTTTGTTCCGGCTAATCAGGATAATACTGAGACCGCGGCTGGCCAGCTCCTCAGCGTAGGCCTTTCCAATCCCGTCTGTGGCACCTACGATGCAAGCCAGGAAGAGTGAGTGTGCTGATTTGAGGTGTGCCTTTTCAAAAGGTCCTTAGATACCTCACTGCTGGGTTCAATCAGAGAAAACTTTGCACTAGAAATAAAGGTACCATTCACAAGTCGAGGACAATGATGGATCAATAACATGAGTGATGCATGATAAATACTCTCCCAGCCACCCTGACAGGCAGACGAGGAGGTGATTTACATTCATTGCATGGATTATGAGACCCAGGAGGACTCTGTTTTCAATCTTCTATGTGGCTTTTCTGGGAAACAATGATACACTAAAAGTCAAAATAGGTGAAGCATTTCTGAAAGTGCTTTCTAGGGGCAATTTTGAAACAAAGAGCAAAAAGGAAAGGGGAGGAAACGGGACCAGGGTAGGCCTGGGAATGGGAGGAGCAGAGTGAGGAGGATGCAAAGCATGGGGCAAGTTCTTCCTAAGATGAAGGCAGTAAGAAAACAGGAACATAATCAGAGCAGAAGTCACATGCTTTATTTTTTTTAATCAGTATATTCCCATGAAAACATCACATTAAATTCAACAGCTCCTTGAAAATGTATCTGACTTAAAATGCAACTTAAAGAGAAAAGATTATCTTGACTTTAAATTAGGTTACCACTGACGACGGCCCACTGTCCATACTGCTTGATCAGGTCTGCTCGGCTCCCCAGGCGAGGGATAAAATGCAGCCTAATCAGGCTGTAAAAGTCACAGACGACAGTGATGCTTTTTCTAGCCGTGTACCAGGCTCCAACCAAAGCTAGAGCTTCCATATAGCAATTGCAAGACCTGGCGATTTCCCGATACAAGAGGTAGAAGCTGTCGACAGCAGCCATGGCAACCTGCAGGGACAGGAAACGAGAGAGATGCTCTTTGCTTAGTAATAAAGCAACATGCATAGTTTGAGTGAAGACATCAACTCGAGGATGTCAAATCTCGACAAATTGCATTTCCTTTGGAAATACACGCAGCCCATGGGACCCGTCAAGTTACAAACTCATTATTTAGCATCTGTAGCTTATAAAGTTCTTTTCTTCTAAGGAGATTAATCAACATAACTACCAAGAACTACTGAATTCCTCCTCACATTTAGTCCTGTACTATGTGTTGTGGCTACTGAGGTAAAAACGATGTGCTCTGAAACCTAAACATGC